CAGCTTAGCAAACAAAAAGTATGAGAACTAATGAGAGTAACTGTTAGCAAGCTAGGCTAACAGCTTAGCAAACAAAAAGTATGAGAACTAATGAGAGTAACTGTTAGCAAGCTAGGCTAACAGCTTAGCAAACAAAAAGTATGTGAGCTAGTGAGAGAAGTTCACCGGCCTCACCTGGCACAGACCGGCTCGTCGTTATAGTGAAGCCATCACGTCAGTATGAACGCTGAGGTTTAAGGTTATTTGTCTTCTTTTGTTGTTTACAGGCTCAGACACCCAGCACCAAGACAACAGCCGTTAACGAGCTTTGAAAAAGACGCCTCCTCACTTCTTCTTCGTTGGTTTTAGCGAGTCGACTCGCTACTTCCGCCTGCTGGAGCGGAGCAGCAGCATACCGGAAATAAACACCAAACTACACTTTTTACCTCAATGATAAGTGGTGGGGCATCACTCGGCCATTACAAGTCAAACGTATGCGCTGAAAATGTAAGTAAAAGGTAATTAAACATCTCTTTATTTAGAAAATCCTACATTGTGATTATGTATTATATCATTAGGTTAATAATGGTGATGAATTAATGTGGGGACAGCATTTCAGTGCTCGGTTGAGATGGAGTGTGTTTGAACTATTTTATATTTATGCAGTGTATTGTGGCTTGTTGGAATCAAAGTGAAGTAAAGGTCCAAATTTTTCTCTGATGTGTCATTTAGGGTGTTATGGTGACGCAGTGGTTAGCACTGTCGCCTCACAGCTAGAGGGTTCGATTCCAATCTCAGCCTGGGATCTTTCTATGTGGAGTCTCCATGTTCTCCCTGTGTCTGCGTGGGTTCTCTCCGGGTCCTCTGGCTTCCTCCCACAGTCCAGAAACACGTTGAGGTCAATTGGGGATTCTAAATTGTCCGTAGGGGTGAGTGTGCTTGGTTGTCTGTCTCTCTGTGTGGCCCTCTGATAGGGTGTCCCCTGCCCTCCCCTAAGTCAGCTGGGATAGATTCCAGCCCCACCATGACCCTGCAAACCGGTGTATAGATAAGAATTGGTAAGGGCTGGATGGATGATGTGTCGTGTGAAGCACATCAGTAGCGTTGGCTGACATGAAAATGCAACTTACACGCTCCAGGAGAGAATTTAAAATACTACTCCTTACACTCAAAGCCCTGAATTATCAAGCTCCATTGCATCTTAGAAACACACCATACTATCCCATCTAAACACTTTTCTCTTAGAGTGCAGACTTTCCTTGTGGTTCCTAGTTTCCAAATGCAGAAGGAGAGGCAGACTCTTCACTTATCAGGCTTCTCTCCTGTGGATCCAGCACTGAGTTTGGGTTCAGGAGGGAGACACCCTCTTTACTTTTACTACTCTTTTGATGAAGCTGGGAGTGCTACTCAGGTGACCCTGAACCATCCCATACCCTAAACCATGCTGCGATAAGCCCAGACTGCTGGAGGACCTCCTATGATGCACTGACGACCTCTTCTCTCCTCCACTCTCCTCTCTCCATACATTTACATAACTTCATTACACTTTGTGTCTTCTCTCTCCTGTAGTTTGTGTGTTTGTTTCCTCTTTGCAGGTATCTCTGACTCCAAGGCTGCACGTTCCAGATCTGCAGTTACTCTTCGCTTCACCATCACCTCAACCTGTTGAAAAGCCAGCCTCCCTGACTTTGTAACTAAAGAGCTTCTCAAAGGGGGTTGTTACTCACAGTAACAACGCCCAACTGAAACCGAAACTCAGGTGTTAATGGCTCCTTAGGATATAAGCATCTGGATCTCCCAACTAGTCAGTCAGAACCGATGAAGCCTCTTGGACGAGAGGTGAAACGTCTTCAAGGAACTCAAGCAAGTCCGGTTGCTACGATTAATCTCCCAGAATAACCATGACCTGAATGACTGAGGATCTTCACAGACAGGGTGTATTCTAAACCGGCGCACAGTTAATAGAAATAATTGTCTTAGAAAGTATTTAATAAATCACTCTAAAATGTCACAGACACCTTTGTAAATATGTGTTTCTGAGCTGGTGAAGCTGAAGTCGTGATGTTGTGAGATGGAACGATCCAAAACACAGTTGAATGTTTCTCGAGCCCTCGGAGGCCGACTGTCCGATCAGACCTGCAGCTCAATGTTCTGCTGTTGTGGCTCCTCGTGTTCGTACTGAAACAAAGACAGACGTAGAAGCAGGAGTGTTGGGCCGTCATGTTCGGTTTCTGTTCTCTGCATCGTTACCTGGGAAACCTGTTCCGGGTCATGCTGTCGTCCTCCAGCTCTCCTCTCAGAACCCACCGAGACGGTCGTCTGTCCAAACGGGACGTCTGCGAGTTCTCACCGTTCTTCAAGACGGGTGTCTTTGAGCACGGCAGCCACGGCACTGGCTGACCGGAAGCCCGACCAGAACCAACTGATCTGTGCCATCTCCTTCCAAGAGAGCCTTTCAGGTCGATATGAACTCACCTGCCGTCCCACCCGGAGCAGGGCTGTACGTCCAGAGGACACTGCTGTGATGTCTGACCGAGCTGCACCCGTCTGGTTTGACACCTCTGAGGAGTCATTAAATGAAAATGAACTGTTTTAATAATCCGAGTCATTTATCAAACAAAAAGGTCAAACACTTGTTCCATCTTCTGAAATGAAAAGATTTCTTTATTCTCAGTAAACCGGACATTTGCATTCATGGACACTGAATCAAAGAATTTTTAAATGAACCTCTGAACCTTAAACAGTTTCAAACTGATCATGTGGGTCATTCTGTAAAAAATCCACCAGAGCCGCTCCACAATCAGGCTTCAATTCAGCTCAGGGGTTCAGTGTCATTCTGCTCAGGATCTGTTTGGCCGGCCTGAAGGGGAAGTCGTGCAGAGGGACGCCCAGAGCCTTCAGCCTGTCCGTACAGGTGAGCAGCAGCTTGTCGTACTCCTGCAGGTGAGACGTCAGCAGGTGAGCTACAGCGACGCGACACTGAGCCGATCACTGACCGACAACTCACCTAACAGTCCTGAGCCAATTCCTGCTGCAGCGAATCGAGCGTCGCCTGCTGATCCTGCAGGATTTCCTACAAACAACAAAACTGTCAGAGAGCAGAAACTGTGCCTTTGTGGTCAGTTTGTGTGTCTTACAAAACTGTCAGAGAGCAGAAACTGTGCCTTT